ACCATTCATTGTGGAGAGTTTGTGCATTATATTATTTGTAGAGAATTTCCTTATCTAAATTTTTATCATACATGTTATCAGAAAATATGTCGAATGAAAAAGCTCGCTGTTGGGTTAAAGGTCACAGATTCTAAAACAAATCTTCCAAAAATCAATGCAGAATGATTATCTGATGAAGTTGATATCTTCACTTTTTCCGTAACTTTTTTCATGACCGTTTTATGCCATTTTGAAAATTTCCTTTGATCTTTAGAAATGCCGACAAAAAGTTTGAACTTGAATTATTCCAAAATCTTTAATAAATATATAATTTAATTGGTATGAAAATGTTTCCCCATATTCATTTCAGTAATTGGTGAGATTGTGAACCAGGTTGAAAAAACAAAATGACCGCCATGACGTCATTTCCAATTTTAGCTTAGTGTCAGTATCTCATGAACGGCTCCATGTACTGAATTGAACTTTGGATATGTGATGTAGAATTAGATATAAATATCATTTCTCATGAAACTTTTTCTATTAAAAGACAACTTCCGGTTCCCGGTAGGGGTCAAATTTCAAAAGTGCGATTTTGAGATAAAAACTTCAAAAATCTTCTTCTCAAAAACCAAAAGGCCTAATGTCATAATATTTGGTCCAAGTCATACTCAAGTAGTGGACAATTAGGTTTGTTAATATGAACGACCTTGACCTATGTTCAAGGTCACTAGGGTCAATTATGTTAAATTTATTAAAATAATGATTTCCAATAACCAAAACGTGTAGGGCTCTCATATTTACGATGTAGCATGCTCGGATAAAGTACTACCAAACTGGACAAAAAATACACCGTCAGCTTGTGGAATTCTATTTAGGTTTGCCGTAAATGAAGCTGAGAATAACTTAAACTAGTGCTGTTTTTCGGGGAGTCTGTCCGATATCCAAGATTGTCGCCAAAGAAGTGAAAAGCCCGCAAAATTGTTAGCAACAATTTCAAGTTATTATTATTTTTAAAATTTCGAACCGGGTCAAGGGTAACCTTTGACATTTTCCCTTATCAGAAAAGGTCAGGTGTCACCTTTGACATTTTTACCTCATCTGAAAAGTTCAAGTGCCACCTTTGACATTTCTGAAAAGGTAAAGTGGCACCTTTTATATTATCCCTCATCTGAAAAGGTCAAGTGTTACCTTCGAAATGTTTACCTCATCTGGAAAGGTCAAGTGTTACCTTCGAATTTTTTACCTCATCTGAAAAGGTCAAGTGCTACCATTGACATTTTCCCTTATACGTAAATGTCAAGCGTCGCCTTTGATATTTTTCCTATTTGAAAACTACCGAAATCTAATTAGGCTCTCAAAACGTGCTTATGTAATGAACTATATATTACCTTTTTGAAATATTAGTGAGATTTGAAAGATTTGATGATCATGAAGGTATATATTGACGTAGAACTTGGTCATGTCTTGCTATCGTGTGAACATGAACTACATGTGTAGAAAACTCATGCAATATGTTATACACACGTCTTTTAAAGATGATCAAGTGTAAAATTTGACCTTGAGCAATTACCATCAAAATAATATCAAAACATACGGTTTGATTCTGTGGTGTGAATTCAAACTATAACTATCCTGTTTTTATCTCATATGTTGTTGATTGACTTTTGGCCTTCATCTCTGACAGATGACCCCCAAGTTTTAATCAGGTGTAGAATCAGAAGTTCTGATGCTATGTTGTGAGTGTATACCAAATTATTAAATTATCATAAATTTAAATTACCAGTATTTCGTTTGTAAAGAATTGAACAAGACAACATCTTAATGTCTATAAAACTTTAGTCCGAAAATAAAAACTCCTATTTCCCAAATGATATTCGATAAAGCACATTAAAAATCATATTTACTAATAACTTTTGTTCTATGCGATGAAATAGGACGATAATGTGATATCGTCTGTTTTTAGATAAAGTCGATTTGTCGTTGAAAATAACCGAAATTAGAGGTTATTGACTGGTCGAAACTGAAACATGTCCGATTTCAATGAAATGTGGTATTTAGGGCTGTCATAGCAACCCCATGAAATTTGATGGCTTGTTATACAAAGGTCACTTTGGTATCGTCAGAATCACATTTCAACAGAATGACCGCAATTTTCTTGTCTCTGATTGGTTGAAATTTAAATGTCCGATTTCTATGAAATTCGATGCATAAGTTCATCATGGGTCAGACCATTATTGTCTCCTCCGTTTCATATTTCAGAAAATGGCCACCATTATCTCTGGCCTCCGATTGGTCGAACTTTAAATATTGCTCAATTTCAATCAAACTTTTGTAGGTGTTTTGAATAACTTAAATTGTTCACAATTGGAATTCTAGTTAAAAAAATTATTCTGCCGTTTTTGTATTCTAAGATATTATTCAGTGAATGCACATCAAATTTTGTATACAATTCATTGTGTTGTCCTTTACTTTTTATCCCAGGTCGATCATCCCAGATGACAGCCGCTGTCCCTGATTGGTTGAAATGATTTCCAAAAATAGCTTTGATTCCACTACAGTATACTGATCATAGTAAAACCTTGTGGAAGGGATGAAAACATGACATCTACGTTGGATTCAGTCGCGAATGGCAGTTTTTTTTTATCATGGTCGAAACTAATCTATTGTCCGGTTGTAATGAAATTGGATAAATGGAATTGATATGGCACAGAAAAACCAATGGCCTATTTGATGAAAGGAAAACAAAATTGTCTCTGATTGGTCAAAACTTAAATACATGTATCATCTAATTTGGATGACATTTGGTATGAGGGTTTATTAGGGACTATGGCCACTTTCGTAGCCGCAGATTCACACGAAAAAATGGACTCCGTTTCCTGACCTCTGATTGGTCAAAATTTCTGTATAGCTTGTAATGAAATTATGTAGGTGTATAGTGACACCACAAATGTATTCATAGAAGTCCGTGTGGTATTGTCGATGGGATGAAGGTATCGAGGTGACTTCTGCTATTGCTCGCAATTTCGATTCTACTATCGTGATAATATTTGACGTTTCCAAAGTGAAGAAGTCAAATTGATACATCCTTATCATCACGTAAGCGGGTATATGGTGTTTATTATATTGTTGATACTGTATATGTATCTTATTATCATTATCATTCTTACTGGGGTAAGTAGCCTTAATGGTTAAGGCATCATTTTTGAGCGGAAATGCGTCACGGGTAGATGTGCACGAGTTGAGATGTTAATGGTAACAGGCATTGTGTACTTGCCTCGTGTACCTGATATGAATTTATCGCTCTATTACATTCTTATTTCTTTAGGAGTGAGTGAGTACGTGTTTGCGAGCGAGTCTTGTATACATATATATATATAACATATATAACCTATGTTTTGCATCGTAAATAAACGTCATCATCGTTTTGTAATCCGTTCTCTCAGTTTTCATTTTCTCAGAAAACCAATCGACGCTAATACCACGTTAACATTTATTTGGTATAAAGAAATCTAATCACAGCACTTAGATAGAGAGACAGAGAGACAAATCGACACACAGGAGGTGAATCCAGATTAATGAATGTTTCGGCAAAAAATTCACTTAACTTTTTAAAAGGTAACTTAGAGCTGGTGATAGAATGATACAGCATTGTTTTTCCCCTTAAAAACTTCAAACTTTCGAGCGGAAAGATACTTACACTATTGAACTGAGGTTGCGTAAATCTAAACACGTATGTCAGAATCTGTAATATCTTTAATAACTTTTTACCGAATATAAACTTAATTTGTGAACTGTGCTACTTTGACATATATTAGAAGCTTAATATTTTAATATTTCTATATAGCATATCATCGTGCAATTTTTTTCCTATAACAAATAACCCCGTAGCGAATACTAAAATATAAATTAACTGAAGTCCAATTAAAAGACATTTATATCGACTTGTTGCCTAAATAAGATATAACGACTAGCGTGACCACACTCCGTGATCTTATAAGTCAGTATTATTATATCATACGATGGCTTCCTGTCTCTATAATCTGTGGAATACCCCGTGTACTACGAAATCCTATTTGGCTGAAAGTATTTCTTTCTTATTAAATGGTTCATTTCGGTGACACAAGCAACCAGATAACAAAGCATTTAGCCGTAACATCTACGTTTTCACTGTCGTAAGCCATTTTTTTCTGAAAATTTAATCGAATAGCTCTTATATCTATTATTGTTTCGTCTTACCTCATTAAAATTCCCGGAAGTTTCTGAAAACATTCTGAACTCATATAAAACAAAAGCAAGAATGAATGTCTCTGGCATGGCTGCATCGTACACGTCTCGTTAAAAATGAGTGTACACGTAAGTATCAACGTCAGCATAGTATATACATTGTACACTTCTTCAACAATGCTCGCATGATTCGTCAATATTGTTTTATTTATTGTAAGTGAATCGGTCAGTATATATTCACACCAATGGCTACAAATGTCAGTCGTAAACTTTGAAATTGTATTGTATATATACGAACGGAGTGTAAAGAGAGATAAGCTTATAGATAAATAAAGGAAGGAAGAAAACGAGACATTAAAATAAACTTCATCAGTAATGAATAAAAATAATCGTTTTGTTAAAAATTTGGCAAGGATATGAGGGGATTCATGTCATAAGTTTCAACTAAAAATGACACAAACAATTTCCATCTAAAATTAAATATATCTTTATATATTTGTAACGAAGAAATGTTAGATTTATTTATCAGAAGCATACATTTTGGAAATTGAAATCATGGGGGAACCTTGTGTAGTTACCTTCATAATTACATGTACTGATAGTATCATGCAACCTACTAACAATATAATGTAGGAGTTACCTCCCGTTATTAGTACTGATGCATTGTGGTACAACACATGTGCTTCCTTTTTCATTCGCCATTTGCTCGCGAGGTAATATGCCGAAATGATCCGACTCAAATTGTGCAATAAAGTTATGTTTCTACAAATTTTTATTCATTTCGTTGTTTATTACAGGTAATTTACCACTAAATCAACATGCAGAACGAAGCTGGAGAGTTCGTGGATATGTACATCCCAAGGAAATGGTAATTGTGACTTGTTAAAATATGTATTCATCACAAACGTTGGAAAATCAAAAGTATGCGAGAGTGTTTTGTTTATTAAATAGTTTGATTGGTTCATTATAATGACGGAAATAGCATCCAGACACACAACAATCTACACCTTGTTTGTTGAAACCCTTGACAATAATGGTTTGATAGTTGTATTTATACCCGATCCCTCGCAATCGCGATACCATTCACAGGAAACTGTTTTCAATCGCATTTTGCATATGATTTTGATTGCCACTATTACGACTAATCAGATTGTCAGAGTCTAGATATCCAATATTGGAAAATATCCACCTACCAGTTTCTCTTTCACTTTGCTTGCACGATGAATACAAATGTATTGAAATATGTTACGACTTTTCTGGATTTGTTCAATAAATTTTATAGCTTATCATCAGCATTTTACCGAAATGATATACAGAAACATATTCAACCTTTATTTTATTTGTCTACACAATCTTCAGTATGTTGAAGGAGGTCATTAACGGGTAGAGATATGATAAGTTCAGCTTAAATTGGGAGGGGGAGGCGGGAAACACTACTGCATTTTGTTTCTTTATATATCGCTAAATAACAGACTCTTGGTCAACCCACATTGGACCCTTGATCACCAGATATTAATGGATTGACATTTTGGTGAAGAAATCTTGAGGATATAATCATATTTTTGAAATGTTGAATATTGTTTTTTTATCAAGTGAAATGAATATTTAACATCATTTAAAGTGAAAACTGAGTTTTCATTCAATGCTACGCTGTTAGGAACTTAATAATTAAAGTGGAAAAAGAGTCATAAAATGATTAAAAAAATTCTATCTTCTGATAAAAGATTTACATGTCTGGGTTTCTGTTTGAAAAATTGCAAGGAGGCATGGTGTATTTTCATTTCCCAGCCAATTACTTGCACCAAGGGCAATTCAGAACTGGGACGGTATTTAAAATGTGAAAATGATCACCTGGTAACACAAAGGGGTTCAGACCTGATGTGCAGGTGATATTGTACCAGTAATCGTCTCATTCATTAGGACCTCAAGTTGTGTAATTAAAAAGTGATATTTGAGTCTAGCATCATCAGGGATATACAGTGTGATAATTGATTCCTGCTAAATTTATTTTTTAAGTAATAGGCAAATGATTCTGATGTATCAAATATATCATACTCTGGTATAATCATATTTAGTGAAATTACAACCCTACATGTACATCATTTGTAAGTTATTAAATGTGATGTTTTCCAATAGTGTAGCTCCAGAAGTTAATTTCTTACTGATATGCAAATATGTCATAAATGTTTCTAAAAAGAAAAAATGTATACATGCCAGCAGCATAAATTCAGCGGTATAATTGTTAATTTCAGACTAGTTTTCTGGATAAAGCATTGAAATACAATTTCTTAATTTCAGCTCTGCTAGCAACAGAATCATTGCTGCAAAAGACCATGCTTCTATCCAGCTGAACATTGCTGATGTAAGTGTACAATAGTTTACATTAAGGCTAAATTGTGATAATTCCAAATTTAAGATATATGAATATCTGACTTCTTTTGTTGAAGATGATTATGAGAGAAAAAAAGGAAAAATATTCAAAGAATTTAAGCACACTGCTGTATAAACTTATAATTTTTTATATTTTTGTAAGGTTGATGAGAGCACAGGACGTATGACAGGTTCAAACACAACCTATGCCATCTGTGGAACAATCAGAAGAATGGTAAGTTGATGTCTTACTATATTTATAAGATTGAACTGTTTGAATTGTTTCATTTAATATCATCCACTAACAAGGCTGTCCACTGAAAAAAGTTAATAGATTATTAAAGATCCCTGGGAAATATATTCATATGGAGAAAGTTTGTTAAATTGCATGCCCTCTTCAAGAAATTTGATCATGCGAAGTTAGCAAGTTTTGTAGTGTTGGATAAAAATTGATTTTTCTGTCCATTAAGAATTTTATCAGTTTAACTTGAAATGGAAATCATGGTGAAAAGTTTTTGCTGTACGTAAACATTTTTTAAATGTATAGCAAAGTTATCCAGCATTCAGCCCCATGCCTAGTACCAAGCCCACCCTGACTATGTTTTTGTAGAAATACCAGCAATGCTTTATGATTGTCTTACTATCGATAAGCTCATACCTAGTACCAAGCCCTCTACTATATCAGTGCTATTTTAAGTCCTATAATAAGCCCACACCTTGATTTTGAGTGTTGTGTCCTGCAAGGCTTATTACATGAAACAATCACATATTCTGGGTCATTTTAAAACAAGGTAAATCTTCAGTAACGTAAATTTTGAGATGAGTTTGAAAATTATCGATGGATTTGTAATCGACTTTGATTAGCTTGCCATTAGCATAAAGTGATATAACATGTTGTTGATAAGGATATGTTCTATAAAAGCACTCTTGCAGTCTGACAAAGAAATAACTTGAGTCACTTAAAGCTTGTTACTTAAGATATACAAAATACATGTATTTGTATTGACATACTAGTAACTGATATAGATGAATGAGTTCCCTTTTATTGGCTGTACTGTAATAGAGATGCACGCATACTTATTGTATTGGATCACATTCCAAAGGTGAAGAATTTCATGGTTAAAAGTATTAAACCCATTAGCAGATTATCAAATTTTTTTTAAAGTACCTGATATTTACATAAAACCAGACTAAATTTTCTTTATCTAAGCAGATTCAACTTTTGGAATTATGTTGTCCTGGTACAAAGCGTTGTATTATAAACACACACTGAACACTTTGGAAAACTGGAAAAAAGACTTTATTATAGCATTTCTCTGGTAGGAAATGTAAATTTATTAACAAGAATATTTTATCATAGTCTGTTTCCAATAAGTATAGAATACTGCATTCTTATGTGTACGATACAGATTGGATTTAAGCTATTTCTGACTATCCCTTGTAAATGTAAATAATTCTTTTAGAAGCAGAAAATAGATGTTTGATGAATTCACTTGTTATACCAAATCTGCGTTGTCCCGCTGCAAAGCCCTTATGTGGAATGGAATAGCATTGGATTTGATATACACTTTTGTACTTATAGGGTAAAGAAGCATTGTGTACAGAGATAGGTGTAAAAATATGTTAGGGTTAAGCACCTATCATTGTTTTACATTTATTCGAGCCAATCTTCTTAGTCACCTCCTAGATTTCTCAATTTATGGCCCTTATCACTAATGTGGCTTAGGCAGAGGAAACATTTGTATGATGCAGATAAATTCATTATTGCATATTTGGCTTTACAACTATATGATCTAAATTTATATGCTGTCTATCTAAGAATATGAAAACCATTGATAGACAGCTACAACAATGTTCGAATCGACTTCAAATTTTGGCAGATGACGATTTAAATTTTTTCAATCAAAAACTGTTAGTATGCATTTTTGTCAATTCCGGAAACAACATGTTGATCCAAATCTTTCTTTGTGATGTACCCATTCCAGTTGAACAAACCAAATAAAGTAATATTTGACAGGAAATTATTGTTGAGAATGTAATATTAGTAATGATAACTGTAATGTGTCTTTTGTACGATCTCACAGGCAGAAAAAGGCAAAATATATAGCTCTCTAAGCTGCTGTTAGACGTTGATGGTAATTTGGAGAGAAATTTGTACAATGTTATTTTTCTAATCAACTGATTTTGCTCTTACAGGGAGAGTCTGACGACTCCCTCAACAGGTTGGCCAAGAGGGACAACATTCTTGCTAAGTAAGTTCAAAATAGTTTATACTTTAAACTGAACAGGAAAAAAAGATGGAGAGAAAATGACCTGATATGAAGTGAATTTCGATTTAACCAGTAGTGTTGGAAGAATTACAGTTGACACTTGTTCAATTCACTTTATGTACTACTAAGTTCACAGATTCCACCAAACTCATTTAGTAGAGCATCTGACTTAGCAACTTGAGATGAAGGTCTGAGGTGTATGGTTAGATCTTTACCAATGGTTGTTTGTTTCTCAGGGAGCTGAGAAATAGAGCACTCTCTGCTGACATGGTTGTGTCCTTGACCACTTTACCCCAATTGTTGTGGTTGGCATGTGACTTGTGATGGTCCTCCCATATGTTGTTCAGTGAGGAAGACGTCAGCTATTAAAGGGAAAGCCCATGAGAAAATGAGCTTTGTTGTTGATGGAGCAAACAAGCACTGGGGTGTAATATATTTACGTTGATTTTAGCATTTATATAAAATCAGAGTTATTGTCTCGTATAAAAATAAAGAGTAAGTTTCTCTGTGTATTGTCCTGAAGCTTTTCCACCTGTGCTTTGTGATTAATGATTGTTTTGTTTTCTTTACAGGAACTTCTGAAGGATGGATGTCAACTACATGTGACTTTTTCTTGTAAATAAGGCTGAATAAAGTCGATGTAGGGAACAGAAGTGTTCACATTGTTTATACTGAACGAAAGTATCTCCAACATGGATGGACTACTTTTAATGTTACTTCAATATATATTACATGTAAGATAATTAAGAGAATACCCAGTATTCCTTTTATTAAAAACAACTTAGCCTGTCATAAACGCCACCAGTGTATTGAATTTTAAGACCACTTGTTCAGCTTCCCTATGCAACACACTCCATGACACTCGCAATAGGAAAAACAATTCCTTCATAAACAGGTCTGACCTCGTTGGTATTTTCTCATTGAATATCAGAAATCTCTAACAAAACTACTTCTAATATAGCAAGTAGTTTCTAAGTACTTTCCCCAGTAGTTTTGCTTAAGTCAAGTTTTATATTTTTCATAACTATCATCAATATGAAACATGCTCTTCAGTTTCAATATATATGTGAAGAGATCTTCATATATCAAAAAAGAAAAGCTGTTTTCATATCACTGTCTTCTGACAGGTGAACAGTGAGGTGTACATGTAGTGCAACTCTCAGGACTGAAGTTTTCAAGCTGATATAACTTCTGCGCTATTTATTGATATTATACTAGGAAGGAGTGATAAAAAAACAGCCTCTGCTGTGGTCCCTTTGGTTTTTATCTGGACACATAACCACTGGACTAAGGGAAGTTCCTAATAGCTGTGGACAGTCACATGACCTGTATTCTCAATTTCTACTCTATGACGAAGTACCTAAAGGGCAAAATTAGTGTTAAAATGTGGTTCATCTTGCATTGAAAATAAGTGATCTGATTATTCATGTTTCCAACTTGAATCCTGTAGTAAATTTGTACATACCGCCAATAAAAATCATTTTGGCTCTGCTTTGTTCAAGTCTCAAGTGATCGGATGATGGGCTGTTGTATCACTTCCCCACAAGTTATTCCATGTGTCATTTGATGTGTTCTTTGAACAAAAATTGCTTTCTTATCGTGTAAGGTTTAGTTTAGTTTTATGGTCACCTAAAACAAAAGTTTCGTGGTGATTATTTCTATCACATTCGTTCTGTCGTAAACAATTTAACATTTTCGATTTCTCAAAAACCCTTAAATCTATATCAATGAAATTTTTGCAAATTCCCTGGTATAAGATTAACCAAAATAGTGAATTATGGGGACCCCACCCCACAGGGGCTTCAGAGCCAAAGCGTCAACACTTACATTGGGTAGAATCAAATACTCTTCATGTATGGAAGCATCTTAAGGTGGTTTATCAAAATTGTGAATTTCATGACCCCAGGGTGTCACATTTCCCCTGGGGGAGGGGGTAAAGTCTACTATAGCTTATATTGGGAAAAAATTAGCATGATTTGTTTAATTTCCATTGGAAATATTTCAAGCTTGGTTAGAATTCTGAGTAAAAGATGACAGCATGATGGTATGCATGCTGACCCCCAATGTTTGATGGGTTGGGCCAAAAGGGGTCAACTTGACTGGAATTTCAAAAATCGTCTTCTCAACACCCAAATATGGTTATATTAAATACTCTTCATGGCCTCATGTATCTCGACAACTTGATATATGCTACATCTTGAGCTGCTAACAAAGTGAGAATGTTGGAATCACCTGATATTTCTTTACATTTGTCATCAGTATTTTAAAAAATCATATATTTTTTTATCTAATATAGTCACAATAATGTTCAGATATAACAGAATATCACCTTTAAACATCCAGGTGTGATAACTGTACAATAGAATTGATAATGAAGTCTTTTTACCTGATGACTTTTAATAAATCCCGTCATTGTCAAACATTGTATTGTACGGTAAGTGTAACATTGTATTGTACGTTAAGTGTAACATTGTATTGTACGGTGTGTGTAACATTGTATTGTACGGTAAGTGTAACATTGTATTGTACGGTAAGTGTAACATTGTATTGTACGGTGAGTGTAACATTGTATTGTACGGTGAGTGTAACATTGTATTGTACGGTAAGTGTAGCATTGTATTGTACGGTGTGTGTAACATTGTATTGTACGGTGTGTAACATTGTATTGTACGGTAAGTGTAACATTGTATTGTACGGTGTGTAACATTGTATTGTACGGTGTGTGTAACATCGTATTGTACGGTGTGTAACATTGTATTGTACGGTGTGTAACATTGTATTGTACGGTAAGTGTAACATCGTATTGTACGGTGAGTGTAACATTGTATTGTACGGTGTGTAACATTGTATTGTACGGTGCGTAACATTGTATTGTACGTGAGTGTAACATTGTATTGTACGGTGTGTAACATTGTATTGTACGGTGAGTGTAACATTGTATTGTACGGTAAGTGTATGTGAAACGAGAGGTGTGTGTATTGTACGAAGTGTAAAACACATGTATTGTACGGTGTATTGTAATTGTATTGTACGGTGTGTGTAACATTGTATTGTACGGTAAGTGTAACATTGTGTGTATACATGTGTGTATTGTACGGTGTGTGTAACATTGTATTGTACGGTAAGTGTAACATTGTGTGTAACATTGTATTGTACGGTAAGTGTAACATTGTATTGTACGGTAAGTGTAACATTTTATTGTACGGTGTGTGTAACATTGTATTGTACGGTGTGTGTAACAGTGTATTGTACGGTGAGTGTAACTAGTATTGTACGGTAAGTGTAACATTGTATTGTACGGTGTGTGTAACATTGTATTGTACGGTGTGTGTAACATTGTATTGTACGGTGTGTGTAACATTGTATTGTACGTAAGTGTAAGTGTACGGTGTGTAACATTGTATATTGTGAGTGTAACATTGTATTGTACGGTGTAGTGTAACATTGTATTGTACGGTAAGTGTAACATTGTATTGTATTGGTGTGTGTAACATTGTTGTGTAACATTGTATTGTACGGTGTGTAACATTGTATTGTACGTGAGTGTAACATTGTATTGTACGGTGTGTAACATTGTATTGTACGGTGTGTAACATTGTATTGTACGGTGAGTGTAACATTGTATTGTACGGTGTGTAACATTGTATTGTACGGTGAGTGTAACATTGTATTGTACGGTGTGTAACATTGTATTGTACGTGAGTGTAACATTGTATTGTACGGTGTGTGTAACATTGTATTGTACGGTAAGTGTAACATTGTATTGTACGGTGAGTGTAACATTGTATTGTACGGTAAGTGTAACATTGTATTGTACGGTGAGTGTAACATTGTATTGTACGGTGTGTAACATTGTATTGTACGGTAAGTGTAACATTGTATTGTACGGTGAGTGTAACATTGTATTGTACGGTAAGTGTAACATTGTATTGTACGTTAAGTGTAACATTGTATTGTACGGTGTGTGTAACATTGTATTGTACGTTAAGTGTAACATTGTATTGTACGGTTGTAACATTGTGTGTAACATTGTATTGTACGTGTGTGGTGTACGGTGTGTGTAACATTGTATTGTACGGTAAGTGTAACATTGTATTGTACGGTGAGTGTAACATTGTATTGTACGGTGAGTATAACATTGCATTGTACGATAAGTGTAGCATCGTATTGTACGGTGAGTGTAACATTGTATTGTACGGTGTGTAACATTGTATTGTACGGTGTGTAACATTGTATTGTACGGTGAGTGTAACATTGTATTGTACGTTGTGTGTAACAGTGTATTGTACGGTGAGTGTAACTAGTATTGTACGGTAAGTGTAACATTGTATTGTACGGTGAGTGTAACATTGTATTGTACGGTAAGTGTAACATTGTATTGTACGGTGAGTGTAACATTGTATTGTACGTTAAGTGTAACATTGTATTGTACGGTAAGTGTAACATTGTATTGTACGGTAAGTGTAACATTGTATTGTACGGTGTGTAACATTGTATTGTACGTGAGTGTAACATTGTATTGTACGGTGTGTGTAACATTGTATTGTACGGTAAGTGTAACATTGTATTGTACGGTAAGTGTAACATTGTATTGTACATTGTATTGTGTGTGTAACATTGTATTGTGTAACATTGTATTGTACGGTGTGTAACATTGTATTGTACGGTGAGTGTAACATTGTATTGTACGTTAAGTGTAACATTGTATTGTACGGTGTGTGTAACATTGTATTGTACGGTGTGTGTAACATTAAGTGTAACATTGTATTGTACGTTAAGTGTAACATTGTATTGTACGGTAAGTGTAACATTGTATTGTACGTGAGTGTAACATTGTATTGTACGGTGAGTGTAGCATTGTATTGTACGTTAAGGTAACATTGTATTGTACGGTGAGTGTAACATTGTATTGTACGGTGTGTGTAACATTGTATTGTACGGTGAGTATAACATTGCATTGTACGATAAGTGTAGCATCGTATTGTACGGTGAGTGTAACATTGTATTGTACGGTGAGTGTAACATTGTATTGTACGGTGTGTGTAACATTGTATTGTACGGTAAGTGTAGCATTGTATTGTACGGTGTGTGTAACATCGTATTGTACGGTGTGTAACATTGTATTGTACGGTGTGTAACATTGTATTGTACGGTGTGTGTAACATCGTATTGTACGGTAAGTGTAACATTGTATTGTACGTTAAGTGTAACATTGTATTGTACGGTAAGTGTAGCATTGTATTGTACAGTGTGTGTAACATTGTATTGTACGGTGTGTGTAACATTGTATTGTACGGTGAGTGTAACATTGTATTGTACGGTAAGTGTAACATTGTGTAGCATTGTATTGTACGTGAGTTTAACATTGTATTGTACGGTGTGTACATTGTATTGTGTGTGTAACATTGTATTGTACGGTGTGTAACATTGTATTGTACGGTGTGTGTAACATTGTATTGTACGGTGTGTAACATTGTATTGTACGGTGTGTGTAACATCGTATTGTACGGTAAGTGTAACATTGTATTGTACGGTGTGTAACATTGTATTGTACGTGAGTGTAACATTGTATTGTACGGTGTGTGTAACATTGTATTGTACGGTAAGTGTAACATTGTATTGTACGGTGTGTGTAACATTGTTTTGTACGGTGTGTGTAACAATGCATTGTACGGTAAGTGTAGCATTGTATTGTATTGTACGTGAGTGTAACATTGTATTGTACGGTGTGTAGCATTGTATAGGACGGTAAGTGTAACATTGTATTGTACGGTAAGTGTAGCATTGTATTGTACGGTGTGTAACATTGTATTGTACGGTAAGTGTAACATTGTATTGTACGTTAAGTGTAACATTGTATTGTACGGTAAGTGTAACATTGTATTGTACGGTGAGTGTAACATTGTATTGTACGATGAGTGTAACATTGTATTGTATAATACTGACTTATAAACCATTGTACCGGTGTATTGTTCGATGTGTTTAATATTGTCTATTATAAATATGTCATCGTATAAATCGTATGTGTGTGATAATGTCTATTGTATCATTTTATGGTTGAATGACATATTTCATTATATCTTATAATGTCGAGAATTCATTGCCCGACGAAAAAGTTTACTTGTTTAATACTAGTGTAAAAGAGTAAATAATTTGAAAGTTTCATCAATAATGAATTCTACAAATGTAAAAAAAAATCTAGTTAATTTTATCAAACAAACCAATGATAAAGATTGTTGGCCTGTGTAATAACTGTACCTTGTTGCTGTAAACAAACTTTATTTGGAATGTATTTAGTGTTACGAGTGCACATTCAATGTGACGTTGCACGTGCGAGTTGTTGTCACTCCACCACCGTGTAGCTTTTACCTGACAGGTGAGGAAAGGTATGTTTTGTATTTGAAAATGTACGTGGAGGTACATATGTTTGGTAGACAATGTGTTTAAATATACCGATTCTGTAAACTTGTGTAATCCATGGATGGTCGAGGACTACCTGCTAAATACCAGACACGTCGTATTCAGACGAAACATACCGTGTTTGATCGTTTCATTCCGTATCGGCCATGTTTAAATGGAGACGCATCATATGCCAAAATTTTGGCCCATCAAGACGGCACAGATGCTATCAGACAACCAGCTCAACATCAAGATCCTCGATCACGATACTACAGGAAATTACTGGATGCTGTTTTCAAGAAAAGTGACCATCGGATCCTAGCGATTACACAACGGCCTCTGTCGGGATACTCGAGTAAGTGAATAAATACACTGACTAGTCACTTTATATAGCATACAACAGCACCAGGCCATTTGTAGAGCAGAAGTGCATGATATGTATGTATGTAATGTATGTATGTATGTATGTATGTATGTATGTACATTTTTCTTTAAAAAGTTTGAGTAAAAGTAAGATACTTGTTGATTGCTAGATTTTGTCTATTTGTTACTTTATATATCCGAACGTGAGGTCAAAGTTGTCCAGTTCGTAAAACTCTCTAAAACTGACCATGACACAAGATCAATCGAAATTTTGGAGGTTGCGATTCATATCAGTTTTCTGAAACTAGATAAATAAAAATACAGTTTGCTAACCTGGCGTTGATGAACCGATATAAAAACGCCGACAAATTGTCAGCAGGAGGGTCTGAATAAATAGTATATATCAAATTTGCACCACTTTATGAGGCTTCGAGAAACATAGTAAATGGAATTCTTAGCGATGTCAACCTTGCAACGTCCACGTGCGCCTGACTGCAATGATTAGATTTAGACTCGTTATTACATGTACCTTTAGATCCTGTCCAAGCAGTCATCAGTTTATAGATAACTGTCATTCAATCGATTTAGATTTTTTACCTTTAGAACCTGTCCAAGCGGTCATCAGTCTATAGGTAACCGTCATTCAATCGATGTAGATTTTTACCTTTAGAACCTGTCCAAGCGGTCATCAGTCTACAGATAACCGTCATTCAATCGATTTAGATTCTTTTTTACCTTTAGAACCTGTCCAAGCGGTCATCAGTCTACAGATAACCGTCATTCAATCGATTTAGATTCTTTTTTACCTTTAGAACCTGTCCAAGCGGTCATCGGTCTATAGATAACCGTCATTCAATCGATTTAGATTCTTTTTTTTACCTTTAGAACCTGTCCAAGCGGTCATCAGTCTATATATAACCGTCATTCAATCGATTTAGATTCTTTTTTGACCTTCAGAACTTGTTCAAGCGGTCATCAGTCTACAGATAACCGTCATTCAATCGATTTAGATTCTTTTTTTTTTACTTTTAGAACCTGTCCAAGCGGTCATCAGTCTATATATAACCGTCATTCAATCGATTTAGATTCTTTTTTTTACCTTTAGAACCTGTCCAAGCGGTCATCAGTCTACAGATAAGCATCATTCAATCGATTTAGATTCTTTTTTACCTTTAGAACCTGTCCAAGCGGTCATCGGTCTATAGATAAGCATCATTCAATCGATTTAGATTCTTTTTTTTTACCTTTAGAACCTGTCCAAGCGGTCATCGGTCTATAGATAAACATCATTCAATCGATTTAGATTTTTTACCTTTAGAACCTGTCCAAGCGGTCATCGGTCTATAGATAAGCATCATTCAATCGATTTAGATTTTTTACCTTTAGAACCTGTCCAAGCGGTCATCAGTCTACAGATAACCGTCATTCAATCGATTTAGATTTTTTACCTTTAGAACCTGTCCAAGCGGTCATCGGTCTACAGATAAGCATCATTCAATCGATTTAGATTTTTTACCTTTAGAACCTGTCCAAGCGGTCATCAGTCTACAGATAACCGTCATTCAATCGATTTAGATTTTTTACCTTTAGAACCTGTCCAAGCGGTCATCGGTCTACAGATAAGCATCATTCAATCGATTTAGATTTTTTACCTTTAGAACCTGTCCAAGCGGTCATCAGTCTACAGATAAGCATCATTCAATCGATTTAGATTTTTTACCTTTAGAACCTGTCCAAGCGGTCATCGGTCTACAGATAAGCATCATTCAATCGATTTAGATTTTTTACCTTTAGAACCTGTCCAAGCGGTCATCGGTCTACAGATAACCGTCATTCAATCGATTTAGATTTTTTACCTTTAGAACCTGTCCAAGCGGTCATCAGTCTACAGATAACCGTCATTCAATCGATTTAGATTTTTTACCTTTAGAACCTGTCCAAGCGGTCATCAGTCTACAGATAACCGTCATTCAATCGATTTAGATTTTTTACCTTTAGAACCTGTCCAAGCGGTCATCAGTCTACAGATAACCGTCATTCAATCGATTTAGATTTTTTACCTTTAGAACCTGTCCAAGCGGTCATCAGTCTACAGATAAGCATCATTCAATCCTGACAGTAGAAGAGGCTAATTATCCTTACTGCTTGTGTACGGCATTTCAACGTTATTCATTATATTATATGTGTGTTTATATACTCCTCTTTTACTAAGGTGACAATAACAAACTGGTTAAGCCTTCTTTTACGCATTTACTCTTGTTTAAACACACACGTTACAATTTAAAGTACATCTTTGTAGGTCCGATGTCTCCAAATCGGTCGTTCTTCAACGCCCCGATGGATGACTTGTTTGCCACGCCCTCTATACGGAGAAGACGACATGTACCGAAATCTCCGATCTGCGTCATGGATCTCCCTAAGTTACGAAATAACTTTTGTAAGAATTTTAATTAGAGTCACGAGGTTGGGGAGGGACTGAGAAAAGACGTAGAAGCATTGTGAAAATGCACACGAAATACTGAAATGAAGACGTATTTGTAAAAGTTTATATTACAAAAGTAGGTTTATTTTCTTTATCAAATTGCATTTGTATGTCATATTTTACATTCACTTTATATCAATTCGGTCGTTAAAATGATAAATATGTATATTATATGTATATAAATGAATGTACTTATGGAATTTGGAAAAAACTATGAAATTGCCAAACATTTGTCATCCCACTGGGAAATATTCTGACGCGATTGGGTTCGTTGGATGCTCGTTAGCATTCCTGGTAGTGTTGTTGTGATTAACCTTGTTCTCATTTGAGAACGTGACATTACTTACTCAGATTGACCAAGATTTGTATGACGTTACCGTCGATGAAGCAGGAGATGCTTACTCTTCAGGAACACCTCATCTTATGCTCCGTGTATTTATTACCTGTTGTATTGTCTACGTTTCAATGATTTGACAAATGAATTCAGGTTATCTTTACATGTCGGTATTTTCACTCACTCTCTCTTTGTCTCTCCGACTTTTGCTGGTCAACAGATTAATAGCAAAATCACACAATGAACTATATGTATCTGTAATTAGGATACCAACAGAAACATTTTTGTGTCAGGTTCATGAGAAAACGAAACATTTTAAGATATGTAATGAACTCTCTTAACAGTTACAAACAATTTAGACTGGGGGAAATCCAACAAAATCGCAGTGGCCCTCAATCTGACTACATATGTGTGGGATGCCCAGTCCAAATTGTGCCAGAAGATCCAACTGACTACCTCCCGTCCGGAACATGACTACATCTCCTGCCTGGCCTGGGATCCTGATGGGACACAACTCGTTATCGCTGACAACCTCGGCGATATTACGGCAAGTCGTTACAAACCATTGCATTAGTTACATTTTAAGGACAGTAAAATGACTCCCAAATCAAAAAGTTTTGATCGTTGAATCATGCAGATTACTGTTAAGTCATTTGAACACGTGATCGCAATTACAAAATGGTCTGCTACTTAAATAGGTGCATTTTAACCAAACTTGTAAATAATTTACAAAATAAGTTACCAGTTAGAGTTGTATTTAGGCAGAAATTTAGGATGAATTCTGAATTATGGAAAACTTTCAAATTATGGAAAAGTTTTGCACGTGTATTCCATATCCACGAGAAAAAAAACAACACTCACTATATAGGCACGTGTTGACTGTTGATATAATTATTGTAAACCAATAAAATCGCACATTTCGTTGGCAGGTAAGGTAGAAATTACATATATATTTATACCTGTACGGAAATAGAAAATAATGATCAGAAATAACGGAGAAAAGTGTAAGATAATGGTGAATGAGTCACTTTTTGTCAAAAATATTGTGACCGGAGTTCATCTGCATACGACAATAAAACAATTCATTAAAACATCAAATAGGTCATTTGTTTTGGTTATTGAGGTGGAAAGAAACATGGATTCAAAAATTAAAAAGACACTTCGCTTCCACGAAACACGAACGCTTAATAATGTTCTGGCGATGACCGTGACGGACGGACGGGTGGACGAAAGGACGAAAAGCACATCTGTAGTAACATATCTATTTCGCCTATTCATACTTTTCGACATATAGTAGTATGGTATAATTTTGAATATTATTTAACGCAGGTATGTGACCCTGAATGTTCGGTGATTAACCATCAGACACACCTGAAGGAACGGACAACAGTCAACATTGTCCGCTGGACTGACCACGGCATATACAGGTGACAAGTCTAAACATTATAGCCACCGAGGCATCGTCAGACTTGTGTGTTTTACGGTATTATTTAACAAGTAGAATGTATTGTCGCTCTAGGTGATTGTTATCTGCAGACAAATATCGTTTTACGTAGTATGGTGTTTGTCTGCAAAACTCCTTGTCATTTATGACGACGATAAGTACCAGAAAAAGACAATAAAATGCTTATATTTACATTCACTTCCTACTTCACGTTCGTGTACGAGTTACAACTTGATTTAAACTAAATTAAATCATACATTATCGACAGTGTTATCCGTATACTGGAACAGCCATTTTGATGGCGAACCGTCGCTATTTCTTCACCCATAATACTGACGTCATAATGGTTACGTATTGTCATTTATTGTTTCGTAAATTACACATCTTTAAGTAAGTTTACAGAATGACATTGCCTTGATAATCTCAATGTCTATAAAATTCTTTGTTTATAATGTACCTACATCCATTCTGAAGTCCACTTTACAGACATTTCGTCATTTGTTTGAAGCTATGTTTGTTGTTAGCACGTCGACTAATTTACAAAACAAACGCTAGTAAGAGTCCGCATTTACACGTATGTAGTGATGCTTTTTCTTCAATTAAACAGAAACGGTTAATATAATAAATAATATAAAATTTAGAACTATAATTCATTTGTAGCCAAGGACGAAATATTTCATCGATTCAATGAAAAAGTTAGTACATGTAACAAAATTGGTTTGAGAAAGTCAACAAGTTCACTTAACTATTGTAGTGGGGATCGTCATGGCACTGTATACAAGCACGACCCTCGGGTGAGGACGGCCGTGGCTCGACTTGGGGGTCATGACGTGATGGTATGTGGACTGTCCCAGGGGCCAGGGACACATTACTTGGCCAGTGGAGGTGGTGATGGACTTGTCTGTATTTGGGATGTTCGATCGTCAAAAGTTTACAGAAAAATTAAAGCTCACACGTTATTGGCAAAGGTAAGCGGTTATCTGTGAATGTTGCCTGGAAATACTGTGAACAGTTCCAGTATGCTTATCAACGATTGCTGATGATATTTTTTTTACCGGAAAATAGACTTTTCAGTATTTTGAATTATCAATACATGATTTTTTATCTGTCGCTTATCAACACTTCAATGACATTGAATTTTTCAAGTCAGAAACATATTAGTAGTTTGCCCTGAATGTTGTAGGCGTTGGCGTGGTGCCCTTGGCGGAAGAATGTACTCGCTTCCGGTGGTGGGTGTGATGACGGCAATATCCGGTTATGGAACATAAACACCGGAAATATGGTCGGGGAAATTTTAACACAGTCACAGGTAATAGTTTTTACATATCTACTTAAACTTATTTTAGGGTAGCCAGCATGTTAAATTTCAAACGAAATATTCTGACGAGTGTTTAGTAAATGTAATATTTCTATCATTAAACGTTTATACTAAAGAAAGAAAAAAAATTGGGCCTACTGTTATCTTACCAGATCTGTGGCATGTTATGGTCAGAAGAATATCACGAGCTCGTGTCTAGTCACGGACAAACCAAAGCCGAAGGGAACGAAACCAACGACCTCATCCTATGGGAAGAGAAGGATTTCTATTTTGAGCCTGTCGCCAAACTCCAACAGCACATTGGACGTCCCTTACATCTGGCCATGAGCCCTGACAAAACACATATAGGTAGGTAGTGAAACCAAGACTACAAGTCCTTGTCTACTCCCCGTCTGCTGTAAGAGTGACGAAGAATACACAAGTCGCCCTTCACTTGGCGGCAAGTCTTTCTCATAAAGCTGAGAACGGACTACTTTCTGCTGACATGGTTAAGTCCGTGGGAAAGAAGTTAGTCCTTATTACTCTGGATGTCCTGCGACGGGCCTCTGTATGTTGTTCAGTGAGGTCGCCACGAGCTAGTACACGGATACTCGGTCTCAAAATGACAATGGCTTTTCATGGGATAATGAACCAAGTGAACAAACCAACAAAGATGGTGTAACCATCGAACCAAGGTTTTTTTAGTATAACAGCAAAATATTAATTCATAACTGTTAAGATTTCATTGATCTAAGTAGTGCCCGGGAAAATGAATATCTACAGTATTGATGTAGAAATAAGGGCTTCGTAGATTGATCTGAATAGCAATGGCGAGAAAACATTTAACTTTGACTCTGAAAATTACATTTTTTTCTAATTTTGACATTTTCGAATTTCAGCTTCTGTTGGTGCGGATGAACACATATGTCTATGGCACTGTTTCCCGGCTTCTTCTAAGGAGGAACATTCATCTATTAACGTCGTTTCCCCTGTTGCACTGGATGGACATATCCGATAAGAATGACGTAATTTATCCTTGCAGTCAATGCACGTGAACACCTAAAATTTAGGATAAGAGTTCGTGCTTCTCATAAAGTAACACACTTGTATTTAAATGACTTCATAATTTTAAGCTCACAACAACAATAAACAGACTTTAAGCTTACAGGTCAAATCTGGTTAAATATCAAGAAGCATTCTATTTTTGTTACGTCATGTTATTGCGTTGTTTCGTCAGTATTTGTTGTTGGCATATATCCCCACAATACGTCATCAGTTTTTGTTGTTATAAAAAAAACATTGATTTTGAACCGATTATTGTTTCTTGTTTTTATAAGAAAGATGTTAAGTCAAGACTTGTAACCTGTTTTATTCGACCATTTGAGTATTATGACAACGCTGTTTTTTCCGATATACTTACGTAATCGAAATTCTAAAGAAAGATTCCATACCATTTTGGCAATATGCCAATATTTCTTATTATTACTGTTAACCATAATGTATTGTATTAGACAGAGTTCATTAAGGACACATCAAAATTAAAATCCAGGTAGAAAGCCAATTGTAGAATACATAGGAATTGGACATGATACTGACAACTCAGCCTCGATACTCCAGGAATTACCTTCCCTATCGTTCCACACCCCTGGAACATTTCATGGCAAAATTTAAGGCTCAAGCCAAGTACTTCGATTACTCTATTGCAATGTGCTATCTGCATGCGCACTTTGTGAAATTGTTCAAGTTTTCAAATGTAGGTTAAAGGTCAATGTCAAGATCAAATATTTAGGTACCACCAGTAAGGTCTTGTCACAAGCAACACATATGTAGGTACCACCAGTAAGGTCTTGTCACAAGGAACACATATGTAGGTACCACCAGTAAGGTCTTGTCACAAGCAACACATATGCCAAATATGTAGGTACCACCAGTAAGGTCTTGTCACAAGCAACACATATGCCAAATATGTAGGTACCACCAGTAAGGTCTTGTCACAAGCAACACATATGCCAAATATGAAAGCCCTGCCTTTAACGGTGTTAGTTATGGGCAAGGTTAAAGAAACTATACGACATAACCCTAGTTTAAAGCCAGTACACTATACCATTATTCGTTTGAATTACATCAAATGATCAAACTGGTCTTTTTTTTATTTTAAATCAAGAAGGTGGTGTACATAGAGCCTCGCCATGAAGTTTTCCAAGGTTGTAGAAAACGATAGTGATCGTAACCCCTAGAGTATCGCGGATGCTGTCGACCCGAAACAATAGATATCTAGAAGATGAATATACCGTCCGACAAAGGGGTGTATATACTCCACAATAAATATCACAATCAATTAGTTTTATAGATGTTAATTTAACATCGCTTGTTGTTTGCCATCTTCAAGTTGCATCGAGATTCGCTAATATGGTGATACAGAACACGAGCACGTACGTGCACATGGCCTCATTGAGACTAACCAGAGCTTAAGGCAGTTTACATATCTAAAATAATAATAGTAATAGTAATATATTGTGTTAAGTCTCATCGACCACTACACTAAATAACTTGAATGATTTAAAACTTTCACTAAATTTAGTAAACGGCGTCCCAATACTGTCTTGTGCTGATAGGGCGTTGTCAGTTTCTCACGCTTGATGTGCGCTGTTAAATTGAAATTGATTGATTTGTTTATATTCTATTTTATTATTAACAAAATGCAAAAAATCTATACCAGACGCCATACATCGACACAGCTAACCAGGTATCTAAAAATTGATTTTTCTTATCTTAATTTCACGGTGCCATTGACACTTTGATTTTATTTATAATTGTAAACTTACATCATTGATAAGTTGATTGAAATGCGTTTCTCAAAACCATAAACAACTTCATTTTCTTTAATATGTATATATATATACTGCAGAGGTTACGCCCACAATCGCTCTCTGTACCCCTAGAACCATCCTCGATACTCCAGAGGTTACGCCTCCAATCGCTCTCTATATCCTTAGAACCATCCTTGACACCTCATACCTTACGCCCAACATCGCTCTCTGCCCTGGAATCATCCTCAATACTCTAGAGGTTACGCTCACTTTCGCTCCCTGCAGCCCTGGAACCATCCTCAATACTCTAGAGGTTACGCTCACTTTCGTTCTCTGCAGTCCAGGAACCATCCTCAATACTCTAGAGGTTACGCTCACTTTCGCTCTCTGCAGCCCAGGAACCATCCTCAATACTCTAGAGGTTACGCTCACTTTCGCTCCCTGCAGCCCTGGAACCATCCTCAATACTCTAGAGGTTACGCTCACTTTCGCTCTCTGCAGCCCAGGAACCATCCTCAATACTCTAGAGGTTACGCTCACTTTCGCTCTCTGCAGCCCAGGAACCATCCTCAATACTCTAGAGGTTACGCTCACTTTCGCTCTCTGCAGCCCAGGAACCATTCTCGATACTCCGGGGTAACGATCACTTTCGCTCTCTGCAGCCCTGGAACCATCCTCAATACTCTAGAGGTTACGCTCACTTTCGCTCTCTGCAGCCCAGGAACCATCCTCAATACTCTAGAGGTTACGCTCACTTTCGCTCTCTGCAGCCCTGGAACCATTCTCGATATTCTAGAGGTATTCTTACTTTCGTTCTCTGTAGCCCTGGAAGAGGTAATGGCAAACACGAAGGCACAAGCCAAGTAATTTGATTGATCAAGAGCAGGGTTAACAACATCTACGGGCTCGAAACAAAGACTGCGCCATAGATACACAAAATGATCAATTAGACGTTGAAACTGATATTTTTTTGTCAGCTCAACTTTCTCCTTCTTTTCAAAAAAACTATTCATGGCCATTAAAGCGTTTTCTATTAGGATTTTCCATTATGCTTCAATAGTTTGGAATTTGAAAAAAAGAGTCCTTTGATACATGATTGTGTATTAACATTATCACTCATAATGTACATCCAGAGCCGAATGACTCCTGAAGAAATGCTCATTTAAAATTGAAATCTATGCAAGATCCTTTCTTTCCAATTGGGGTGAAAAGGAAAATGCCACCGAGCTTTGGATAAAGCAACACATATTTCGATTTCTTCAACTTAAAATTCTAGTGGTTAAAAAAAATATAAATTTACTATATAAAGTATATACAGAATGTGTATATATATCATACTTGCAGGATTATGAAGACAATGCGAAGATAAAATTCATGCTAGATTCGATCGCATTTAGCAGTGTTGATGACATGATGGTTTGAATTATGATTCCTTATACTGTGAAGGTTGTTACTTAAAAGTTTTTCTTTTCAAGGGTGGAGTAAGATCAGAAAAAGATCATTTCCGTATGAAAATAACACGTGCTTGATGAAATCGCGGAAATTTGTAATATCGAATACACTTCATCTGCTTTAAACAAATGTGGCTTACCCTGGTAGTATCAACGCCTGAAAGAGAGGGAATATTTGGACACAGGGAACCCCTGATCTCGAAACCGAACCCTGTTTAACTAGTCACAATAGTAGCTAATACAAGTACTAGGTACAGCTGAAAAAGCTTCACCGCTGTGTCAGAAATGTTTGACTTGCTTAGTTTATGTAGTTGCTAAAACGTTACTTGAGGCAAACAAAGTTGTACCGCGTAGGTATTTAGTGTAATGGTCAGTGTAAGTTCCAATATGGTGTATGAATATTTCATATATCATGTCACCATTACTTGATATTTTCTGCCCTTAGGCAGGGTACAAGTTATAATATTTCACACAGAAAAACTTTATTACTCATAATTAACGCCCTAAGGTAGGGTACAAGTTATGTGCGTGGTTATAACACCTCAGTGAAGTTCTGATGTACGTGGTTATGACACTTCAGTGAAGATCTGATGTACGTGGTTATGACACTTCAGTAAAGATCTGATGTAGTGGTTATGTAACCTTAGTGAAGACCTGATGTACGTGGTTATGTAACCTTAGTGAAGACCTGATGTACGTGGTTATGTAACCTTAGTGAAGACCTGATGTAGTGCTTATGTAACCTTAGTGAAGATCTGATGTAGCGGTTATGTAACCTTAGTGAAGATCTGATGTACGTGGTAATGACACTTCAGTGAAGATCTGATGTAGTGGTTATGTAACCTTAGTGAAGATCTGATGTAGTGGTTATGTAACCTTAGTGAAGATCTGATGTACGTGGTTATGTAACCTTAGTGAAGACCTGATGTACGTGGTTATGTAACCTTAGTGAAGATCTGATGTAGTGGTTATGTTACCTTAGTGAAGATCTGATGTACGTGGTTATGTAACCTTAGTGAAGATCTGATGTACGTGGTTATGTAATCTTAGTGAAGACCTGATGTACGTGGTAATGTCACCTCAGTGAAGACCTGATGTACGTGGTAATGTCACCTCAGTGAAGACCTGATGTACGTGGTTATGACACCTCAGTGAAGACCTGATGTACGTGGTAATGTCACCTCAGTGAAGACCTGATGTACGTGGTAATGTCACCTCAGTGAAGACCTGATGTACGTGGTTATGACACCTCAGTGAAGACCTAATGTAGTGGTTATGTAACCTTAGTGAAGATTAAAAAAAATGGAATTTCAAATAATTTCAGATCCTCAAATCTACGAAACTAAACATATAGTTAATATCAATTAAAAACTGAATAAATATACTTGTCTGGAAATGGAATTTATCTTTGTAAGAAAAAACATTTTACCGTCTTGATTTTATTGTGTGTGTGTGTGTGTGTGTGTGGGTGGGTGGGTGGGTGTGTGAGGGTGTGTGTGTGTGTGTGTGTGTGTATGTGTGAGGATGTGTGTGTGTGTGTGCGCGCGCGCGCGTGTGTGTGTGTGTGTGTGTGTAGGAGGGGTATAATAACATTGAAAAAAGCTTCAAATGATTTACATTGTTGTTACTTCAATAGGCCTACTGGTTAACTACATGGTACCGCCACAATATGACGTCATCAATCGTGACTTGATTGTATGTTATGACGTCTTAGAAAGGGGAGATAATTATGTATATAATTGTAATAATTTATACAATGTCGGTTTTAATGTCTATATAAATATCACTATTCTCATCAACTGGAACAATCTATGTATAACATATGTAAGTTGACGACACATGGATATTGATAAATGTAGAAACGAAGACGAAATGAAAACAAATCAAATAATTCCGTTCCTTTCTTCATCTCTCTGATGTCGTTGTATTTACACTTCCATGTTGCTTTTAGGATATCCTCAGTTCGTAAGCGCCTATTTCTTGGCTCATCCGATTATGCAGTATTAGCCATATCTTTCGTATAATAAGAGCAATTGCATTAAGTAAGGACTCTTTTATGTATAAACCATGATATTGTTTGAACAAATGGTCAGTGGAATGTTTCATCTTCAACATCTGTATCTTATTCACAATTTATGTGATACTTTAAATTAAGAATATTTCTTCTTTTTCGTTGCGCAGGTGAATCTCTATTGAATTAAGATGATTATACAAAAACCCGACCTTTCATTTGGAAAATCTGTAAGAAACTGCGCACCATATCTAAGTCGGAAGTCGTTTTTATCAATTTTTAATCCAGAAAGTTATATACCGGAATTCTACAATATCCTCATAGAGTTTATTGGTAAGATCTCCCAACAAGTTATTGGGATACTTATGGAAACAAGCTGTGTTTTTATACGAGGTGGAATCTATCGAAGAGGATATAAAAATAGTAACACCTTGTCAAATCCTTCACTTTTCCATAATTGATAAAGTCTTTTAAAAACTAACAATAAATCTATTCATAACCATCACAACTGGAACCAAGAGCGTACAGACTATTCCACTTTGTACATGTTCAGCTTACAGTGTACCTTGATCTTCCAACAACGAAATCAGCAAGGACATTTCTCCTCACAATAATAGTAATTCTCCATTTTTAAATTGTGATATCATTGCTTCCCCAAACCTATGGCATTTGAATGTCATGATTTGATATTGAATAGCTTGTTCCTAACACTGAACTATTATTCTTTTTGAAAACGATGTTGAGAATTGACAGATATAGTCACAGCCAACAGAGTTTTAAGAGATACATGTTGATGAAGGCTATGGGATAGGCTTATTGTAGTCATAGTAATATCATTGGGAGATATGCGATTTCGTGTTTTATTTTGTTCTTATTTGGAAACGCGACATTAATTACTTAAACTGACCAAGATTTACGTGGAGGGTGCCGTCGATCAGAAGATGTTTACTCTCCGGAGTCCTGGTCTTATTATCTTTGTACTTTTTCGCGTGTCTGCGTGCAGATCTTACCTTTGTTTATAGTTCATCCCCGGTTTATCGAGTTAAAGTTTGAATTAAATTTCTGGTAATATGTTGGTATTTTGCTTTGTTATTTTCGACAGGTTTCAATATCTTTTAAGAACCATAAAGGCAAACATACTTTTCCTTTCTTTTTATTGCACAAAAAATGGATAGATGTTATTTAACAAAACTAAATTAAAGAAAACAACCAGGAGAACCGGTACGTTTATTTATTTTCGCACGCTCAGTGGCAAGTACATTCATATAGTTTCAAATGGTATGGAAATCACCACGGGGGACGTTGATATGGTGAACCTTGCACCTTATCTTCCACAGGAAGACTGGTCGGAAGTTTGATACTTCGAGTAGCTGATACCATAGGATGTCACAGCACTTTGCAGTGTTGATTCTTCGGTGGGGGTTAACGCCTGTCTATCGCGTTTTACGATCCACGATGCCTCTGAAAAAAAATGGTAAAAGATGTGACAAAATGACTACCACTGTTTGATGTTGGACCAACTACTGACTGACTGAAATATCCATCTTACCTTACTTTAAGTTGTTTTCATTTCATGTGAGATTTTATGAAACACGTCTCGAAGTTTCAATTTTTGTTCAGCAAAGCGCGTAAAAATCAAACCTAGAACCGATTTATAAAATATCAGATGAATATCTATTCTATTTTAACATTACAATATTGCAAATATAACAACATCCTCAAATACACTACTTCCTCGCGCAAAACTAAATTCAAACATAGCATTATATTCCACAAAACTCGACCAATGTTTTTAGAAGACGGAGCATACCAAAACATGTTAAGAGTTTCTACACAACACTCGGGAAATACCATATTTGCCACACATAAGTAAACAGTTTCTACACAACACTCACGCAATGCCGTATTTGCCACATATATGTAAATATCTTGTACACAACACTCACCAATATACCATATTTGCCACATATATGTAAACATTTTCTATACAACACCCACGCAATGCCGTATTTACGACACATATATAAACAGTTTCTACACAACACTCACGCAATGCCGTATTTGCCACACATATGTAAACATTTTCTACACAACACTCACCAATATACCATATTTGCCACATATATGTAAACATTTTCTACACAACACTCACGCAATGCCGTATTTGCCACACATATATAAACAGTTTCTACACAACTCTCACGCAATGCCGTATTTGCCACACATATGTAAACATTTTCTACACAACACTCACCAATATACCATATTTGCCACATATATGTAAACATTTTCTACACAACACTCACGCAATGCCGCATTTGCCACACATATATAAACATTTTCTACACAACACTCACGCAATGCCGTATATGCCACTCAGATGTTAACAGTTTCTACACAACACTCACGCAATGCCGTATTTGCGACATAAATGAAATCAAAACATGAGTACTTCCACACAAAAGCAGAAACAGTTTGTTTTATACACAAAGTGTTCGTTTACATGTATACCATGTATTTGATAATACATATATAAATAGTGTATTCTCCAAATGATTTCTTTTTCTTTTTCAAAGGAATCCGTATTATTGACTTGCTTTAAAATTCTGATGTTTTCTTGATACGTACCAATGGCTGTTCCGTAAAACAGGTCCCTACACGCGTACATAACGGACGGATCTTCATAGCCTGGCTGTACAATAGTAAAGACTCCAACGAATACCCAGTTGCCGTTAACTTAAAATAGCAATGCGAAAGTTTGGTTATTTTCAAATATTGCATAATAAACTATGCAATGAAATTTCCACTAAATACATTTTGCTATAATTATTTTTACTTGTCATTACATGTACTTGTCTGAGAGGTGTTTAAATGCGAATACCTGTTTTGTTTTGTGAAAAGTCTTCCATGAAAAGATTTTGCTGACAGAGTCATATATTAATCTTCATACCTCTAGTTTTGGCTCGAAAAGTGCCTGACTTTGAAGTAGGTTCTAGAACGATCCTTGTCGATGTCTGTAGCGGTAGTGGCCTACAAAATTTGATATGGAATTTCTTAATATCATGCAGATAGGGTAACGTTCATGTTATTTAAAGTTTCTGTTTTAATGCTATTTCGTTGGCAACTATTTTGAGGATAAACAGAGATTCATTTAAACTGGAAAATGCATATTTAAAAAGTTTCTAAATGTTGAATATTGCATTAACGTTAGAATTTATAGATAAGAAGAAAAACAAAGAAATCGACAAAAAAATCTAACATGAGCTAAAGAGTTTTTGCAATGACTGGTCATTTCTGTGCTGAATGCCATTGGTTGGTACATTCCACGTCACCGCCATCACTGGCTGCCATTAGACGTATCCGCTGTATATCATGTTTTAGAATACACAACAAATGATATTAATTTTTTAAGGAAATTACACGCGAAAAATGTGGATACCGGAAAATCAATCAAATATGAAATACGCTCTGATATTTTTGATTTATTATAAAACAATCATCAAAACCAGAATAAATTACTGCTAAAACAACGAAAAACCAATGGCATTGATGTTAAAACAGATGCTAATTTCCAGAATATGAATCTTTTTTATTTTTCTTGTTTAACTCGTAACTAATTCTGAAATATTCTGTTAGACATTTCTAAAGCTTCTGGTCCTGTTAAAATGAGTCCAAGAACTATTAAGGAAGCAAAGACAGGGTCTGTTATTTAAACCCTTTCTAAATTGTTTAATAAATCTATCGACTGTGGTAAATATCCTTCTATATGGAAAGTCGCTAATGTTACGCCAGTTTTTAAAAAGGGTGATAAATCCATTGTTTCAAACTATTGACCTATATCTTTAATAAGTATCGTTGGCAAACTAATGGAAAAGTGTATTTTTAAACATGTTCACGATTTTTTTAGAGATACAAATTCTTTTACAAATTGTCAATCAGGCTTCACACCAGGGGAATCAATTACTAGATATCACAAATGATATTGGGAGGGCTTTAGACGCAGGTAAAGAAATCATTGCGGTATTCTGTGACATAAGTAAATCGTTTGATAGGGTTTGGCACAGGGGTCTTATACATAAATTGGAAAAATCTGGCGTTTCTGGTAAACTTCTATTTTGGTGCAAAAATTATTTAAATGACAGAAGTCAAAGGGTTGTTATAAATGGTCTTTTTTCTGAGAGCCAAAATATCAAAGAAGGTGTTCCTCAAGGTTCAATATTAGGTCCTCTCTTCATTCTAGTATATATATTAATGATATAGTGAATGATATTAATTTTAAACTAAAGTTATTGGCTGATGACATAGCCTTATATATCATAGTTGAAAATCCCAATATTGCTATTGATACCATCAATAATGATCTTTAAAAAATATATGTATGGGCAAATAAGTGGTTAGTAAAATTTAATCCAGACAAGACAGAATCTTTATTAATTAACCAAAAAACTATACCAGGAATTTATGATCCTATCACTATGGACAATGTATCTAATGTAAAATCTCATAAACAAGTAGGGGTATTAATGTCTGATGATGGTACATGGAAAAAACATATTGATTACATATTGAAGAAAGTGTTTCCAAGACTAGCGGTTTTAAGAAATTCAAAAAACATATTAGATAGGAATTCTCTCCAAACAATATATTTTTCTTTTATCAGACCTATTTTGGAATATTCTGACGTAGTTTGGGATAATTTACCAAAATTTTTTATGTCAAAATTTAGAAAACATCCAAATTGAAGCTGCAAGAATAGTTACAGCTGCTACTGAATTGTCAAGTATTAGTTTATTGTACAATGATGTGGGTTGGGGAAAACTCTCTAAAAGTCCAATCTAATTCCAAGTAAGGTATCAGATATCCATAGACATAATACTAGAAATTCAAACAACTTATTATTAATTAATTGCAGGACTCAGTTTTATAAAACATCATTTTTGAATTCTGCAGTACATTTATGGAATTCTTTACCAATCGATATTCGCGAAAATCCGTCTGTCAGGATAATTAAAAGATTTTTACAAAAAGATAATGTAATTATTCCTTACTATTTTAATATTGGAAGAAGAAACCTTCAAATTTTGATTGGGGCTCAAATGTAGTAATCTCAAACAACATTTACACTTAAGAAATCTGGAAGAAAGTCCATTTTGTTAATGCGGGTTAGTAGAAAGTACCCACCATTTTTTATTACCTTGTGCTAATTATAACATAATTCGACAAAATCCTTTACTTCAGCTAGATATTACTCTAACTGGAAAAAATCTATTATGGGGAAACGACACTTACTCTAAACAGAAAAATGAACAAATATTCTTGACCGTGCAAAATTATATGAAGCTCAGTAAACGTTTTACCTAATGTTTTTTGTCCTTTATTTCTTATTACCATACTGCACATCATGTATTGTTTCATAGATCTGAAAGCAGCTTTGTAAGGTAACCTTTTTTTTACATACCAATGAATCAAGGCGCTACTACTTAAGTTAGAAATTACATTTTGTAATTCTATCCACCACATGTGCGTAAGTATATAGATATTATTGTTATGTGTGAATATTACTTTTTCGTCCAATGTCGATGTTAGGTGTTCCAGTTTTGATTTATATTTGTCTTTGTATGTACATGGGAAAGGAATTGATATAAGCTTCAAGCTTGTTTTCCCATCCCATAAGATTAAATGTACCTGTCTGTATTTTAATGCTAATTATTGAATAAAATCTTGTTTAAACTTAATTCTGAAATATACGTAATTACCAAATCTCTGTATTTTCCTTCGTTTTAACTTGAGTCACAACTTATCCCAAAAAATGGTTGAACCTATACTCCACTGATGTTTCTTCCCTTTGGAAATCTTTCACGTGAAAACGTGTAGCAAATTTAGAAATGATAGTTGCGATGAGAATAATTCTGAATTACAAAAGCCGTTTTAAATGTAATCAGGAAATCATTAGAGGTATGAATACATGATTTACAAGTATAGAACGCTTTACATTATGAACGCATAGAGTTATATACTGCATAGTTAGCATTATTCGCGGCAAGTTTTCTTTTTATATTCGCGGTCGTTGAAGATAATGAATCAATGTCCCTAAAATGAATATGTTATACACATAGCTGGATACAGATGGATATGCATGCGTCCGTGAACAAAACCAAACCAGGGCTAAGCGAAAAAAAACTAAACGGTAGAGCATACAAATTAGTTCACTACTTACTATTCGCGTTATCATAGATTTAACACTTAAGTATAACATTTATAGAAAGCAAATATTTTTTCTGTAATAGAAATACACAATATATTTGAAAACTTACCACCTCACCTCCCTGTAGTATACAAGATTGAACCCACCATCGTTTCGTTCAAATAACGTGTATGTCATACATTTCACGTTCGATTGGAGTGCGAACTGGAATCTCTTCCTCTCGTACCATACACCCGAATACTATAGTAAATAAAACAAAAATAAAAGAAAAATTCTGTTTATCTTTTCCTGTATGGATGTTATTATTTATAAACAAATATGTAAAACGCAATTTAACTAGGATAGTGTGAATGTTAACCGAAAAAAGTGTGAGTGGATGGGGGTGTTGGGGAGAATTAATACCAAAAAACTTAACAGACTTATTTTGAAAAATGTCGCTGATATTAATACTGAGAAAGATATAAATTCATTGTCTAAATTTGTCTTTTGTACAATAATCTACTATGATAAGTGACCAAGAAGACTGATAGTCTTACCCTGGACATGTTGAAATCTCCAATTTGCGGGATATTTGGACACGGTGAATTCCGCAATTCAAAACCAATATCAGTGAAATATCCTTGAACAGACACCACAGAAGCCATACCAAGGACGCATAATACGTATAGTGGGGATGCCATCTTTTTCTCCGTCCTGCTACTAATGTTAGAATATCAAATAAGCTTTCTATTTAAATACCCGTGACATTCAAAGGGAAGTAAAATATTGCGCATGGAAAAGTAGTCCCTTCACATGAAATAAGAATAAAGACACATATTTAGAGTAATGATAAGGATTTACGGTAAATGTTTAAGGTTACACGAAAATAAATGTATCAGGTTTTTGTATAATAATTACATTAAATTTTTCAAACTTTAGAAAACAAATAAGGAACTACTTTTCAATAGTTTTCAATATAGTATATAGTTTTGGTTCCCTTTCTGGAAACTTGACAAGAAAAAAAATCTTTCCTGAAAAAAAATTCTCAGTGCCATGTAAAAGTACGTGTTTTGTTGATATGCTGCATTCTATTACAACTATGAAAATGCTGTCATGTTATTGTGATGATGTTGTTTGAAAGAATCTATGCATAATTACAATAACATTGTAAAGAGATGAAGCTAACAAAACTTTGTGTCCATAGTGATTTTATAAACGTGTCGGGTGAGCCCACGTGACTTTCACTTTAAAATGTTATGTGAGAGGAGGTCATCAATAATGTGTCTAATAGGGAACATTAATGGGCGAATGTAATATCAATAAGTAGCGACCATTGCTGAGAATAGTAACCTTAAGATAGCTTGCTCCAAAGGTAAAGACATTAAGTATCGGTACACAAACAACAAAATATGTTGTGTGGTTTTTTGGGCGTAACACCTTTTGGCGTTCTGTTTTACAAGATTTTAAACATCAGATGCTTCATGTCATATCATTTTCACAAAGAACATTTTGTGATTAAGCTAAATATATCCATCTTTCGTGTTATTCTGCATTTCTACAAATTCTAAAATTCGAACATTTGCTTGACAAATAAAATTTTAAATGTTATTTGTTTGATGATGGAACATCTTGGAGATGTATCCTCTCCTGCTATTCCTATTTTTTGCAATAGAGCGGCGTGCTTTCCCTCTCCATTTTTTTAATTAGGGCAGTCAATGTTGTAATGCTGGCCATGTCTGGAACGGCCATTAGACGATTCTTCTTCAGGGTGGAACATTTTGGGTTTGACAGTAGACTTTGATATTGTTTGAACATCTTTGTGTTTGTCTGTAAACGATCTTCGACGTTGTGAAACTTGCCTTTATTTCTCTATTGAATATGAAGAGCCTGTTTAGAAGTTCCCCCTTTATTCTTTCGATGGACACTATGATAAGGGTACTTTTATTTATATATTTCTATCGTTTTATCGCTGTGATTACGTTGACATGTTGATATTTTCTTGTTTTTACAGCATTTGTGTTACATTGCTGTGTGAACAATTAATAACACTTTGTTTTAGTGTCATTAAGCTGGCTGATATTAAACAGACTGCGATTAGCCGAAGATATGCTTCCTAGATCATGCTTGACTTTTGAAATTATATCTATTATAAAAAACATGCAAATTAATAACAATTATAAGCTCACAATCCTGACAACGATGAGGTATTGAAGTTCAATTGTATAATGTTTCTGTGTTCCAGAAAATGTCCATTTTGTGTATATAAATAGGTTGAACTATTGACAAGTAGACTTTTACTTCGCTAGTGGCAAGTCAACTTACAATAAAGATTTAATTAATGTAATATATATGTACGTAGGCATATAGACCATTAATGAAATCAGTAACTACTGGAAGTTACCACATATTGTGTCACACATGGTCAGAAATGCAGGTTATTATCTTCACCGGGTCATGCGAAGGTCAAATGGTCATACTTGGTAGACCTTTTAAACATTGGGTATATTCTCAAAGTTGACAATATCTATAAGGTATTAAGCTCTGCTGAAGGTCCGTAATTCCTATGTTACATACCGGTACTTTGATTTTTACTTTTATATCCATAACATTTAATGGAATACATGAAAATCAATATGTGTTGATTTCTGTACAGACAACAAAAATATAAAAACCTTTTTAAAAAATAAAATACCTGAATTATAATAATAAATATTATCCTCATTTTTGTCGTATTCCGATGTTCATATGGTAATGCTGTTATAAATTTAGATATACTTAGTCCATAAGTTATTTATTAACCTGCACTTGATTTGACCATCTCTTATCCAATCAAAAAAAACCTCGAAAAAACATTGTTGGTGGATTAATCAGTCCTAGGATTCAACACAGCAAACCATTTAAGAAAACTGAAGGTACTGATCAATCGGAAGTTACAGATGTTCCCATAATTAAAGAAATAAAAACTGAAAACTGCAGCTCAATGCAGTTCGACAAAAATATGTTCTCATAAATTCTTGTTAGGGAAAATATTGGGGAAAAATGTGTTTAAGTCACACATACGTCGGCTTTACCTTTTATAAACATGACGTCATTTTGTTCAATTATATTATCTGAACGAATTGACATTTCATTCTGTATAAGAATATTAGTTTACTTCTAAAATATGATATGCATCCGCCATGATTTCTACGAAAAGCACATATGAAACACATGCCTTTTTATGTATTAAGTAGAATTGTGGTACATGTATGCACTGTTCCTCTTGTTCTGTGTGTTTCTAGAATATAAATGACTGTAAAAGTATTTATTTCGATGGAACGATTTTTCGCGGTCATATCGATTTTACAAAAAAATTTAATTTTGTGAAAAATGACAATAATGAATAACGAACTAAAACACGTATTGGTTTTATCATTTAATGTGAAAAGTTGTTTAAAACGATATCAGAAAAGAATGGCTTCTTTGAGATCTTTACGGATCCACAATTTTCCTGATCAGATTTCATTTTATATAATTTTCTTTTCTTAAAGTATGCAAACAACAGCTTTTCAATGGAGTAGTGAATCGATGCCAGTAACTTTCCTCTCTTTCTCGTCATCACGGAAATATTCTCTGAAATAGACACACGTTGTGGCACATTTAAACAACGCAAGTGACACATGGACAAAGGAAATTGACCATTTACTTTTAAGTCAGTGGTTTTAAAAGTAATGAAAGAAACTTACAAATGTTGGTACATTATTTCAATTACATTAATTGAGAAAATGGAAAGTGAAATTATCATGATTGGCCTTCAAGCAAAATATATCAGATATGCAAACACCATTTTCCACAACGTTATGCGAACCAAATGTGTTCAATTCGAAGAAAGCTTGAGGATATTTCTTGAGTGAGAAATGAACAACGTAAAAATTAAGCTCGGGGATATTCCTTGAGTGAGAAATGTACAACGTGAAATTAAGCTCGGGAATATCCCTTGAGTGTGAATTGAACAACGTGAAATTAAGCTCGGGAATATCCCTTGAGTGAGAAATGTACAACGTGAAATTAAGCTCGGGGATATCCCTTGAGTGTGAAATGAACAACGTGAAATTAAGCTCGGGAATATTCCTTGAGTGAGAAATGTACAACGTGAAATTAAGCTCGGGGGAACCCCTTGAGTGAGAAATGTACAACGTGAAATTAAGCTCGGGAATATCCCTTGAGTGAGAAATGTACAACGTGAAATTAAGCTCGGGGATATCCCTTGAGTGTGAAATGTACAACGTGAAATTAAGCTCGGGAATATTCCTTGAGTGAGAAATGTACAACGTGAAATTAAGCTCGGGGGAACCCCTTGAGTGAGAAATGTACAACGTGAAATTAAGCTCGGGAATATTCCTTGAGTGAGAAATGAACAACGTGAAATTAAGCTCGGTGATATCCCTTGAATGTGAAATGGAGAAAGTGGAATTAACTGTAAATAACAGTCAGTAATTGTGAACAAATGTTTAAAGTGTCACTTTTCGTACATATGAATTACTCCGTTATTATTCGATATTATCAACAGGGTACATATGATCTATAAATTACGATAATTAGAACAGACTTCCAAGTCAATAATCAAAGTTCTAATGGAAAGCAGTGTTCTGAGGAAAGGCGAATTCTCCTCTGTGTTCCTTATCTTTTTTTTTATTTTTTATTTATTTGATTTTCTTTGTTTATTTATTCCGTCAGTTTTCTCTATAAAATAAAAGAACACATGAAAATTCAAAATAGCAAACTATACTAGTGCGTTACCGAATATGTCTTGAAATACTGACCGACAAAATTGGCCGGAAAGAGAGGATTTGGACTGCACGAGTATACCAGGGCATATCGAACATAGTCGGTAGCAAGGATCCAATAGTTTGAATACACGGACCCTGAAACATAAACGTTATAACAGAGGATAGTCACTCGGTTCAATTTTAGGATGTGTGATTCTGTGATTGCTAGCCAGGGCTGTTTGTGTTCCTCAGGAAACCGAGAAACGGACCGTGTTGTAGTGACTGCCTTCCGACAACATGCCATACCCAAAAAGCTCTGCATGGCATGCTACGAGCGTTCCATATAATGTTTAGCCAGAAATTACTCCAGCTGTTGACGGAGAGGTAACTACAGCCAAAAACAACTAGCGGCCAAGGAACTGTCGACATCGAAACGATTACCAAAACGTGGCGGAAAAACGTGTATATCAACTGAGAGTTTTGTCTGTCGCGTGAGTTGTTCAACTTTAAGTCATATGTTTATGTTCGTAAATTTCAAATAAATTTAGTTTCCTTAACTTGTTTAAAACATGGATCAGAAATATCTACATATTTATATATAAACAGAAGAGTTATGATACATAAAGGTTACACAACGAGAGGTTATCATATACTTCACTCGAGTTAGTTATCATTTAAGATTTATAAAAACACGAGCTTTCCTGTTTTCAACATAGTGAAAAAGCTGCTTCATTGATGATGTTTTTCTGTACCAACGAGCATGTGTATGAGTTGGGGCGTAATGACCCGAGGTGCCGCTTAATAATATGCAAAATTTTACGAGAAATGCTTTGAAATATGAGTAGGTTTACACCATGGTGTGAGAGTGGAATAACACAGCGTATTGTGTGGTGTGAGAGTGGAATAACACAGCGTATTGTGTGGTGTGAGAGTGGAATAACACAGCGTATTGT